TCAAAAAAAAATCTTATTACCATAATGTACAAAATTATAAAGATAATAATAAATTTGCTCTTTAAATTTTAAAATATAATTGAATAATAATAAAATAAAATGTTACCATTAAATATAAACCAACATTTATGATTGTATTATTATAGCAAAATTATAATACATAAATATATTATATATAATAATAATAATAAATAAAATTGTATTGTACATTTTAAATATTTTAAAATTGTATTGTAAAATTTAGAACATTTCGGCCATATTGATAAGTGATAAGAATTTGGTGGTAAATTGTTATCACGATGATATCACATTGTCAAACAACTTTATCTTTTTTAATCATTTAATAATTCTGATAATATTGTGACCTGGACAGACTTTTTGTACGATTCACCCAGGTGTTTGAAATAGAGATATTTGTTTTGCCTATGAAATTGCCTGTGCCAGTACTTATTTAATAACCTGTAATGTTGTAGACAGCTCTTATACCTTTTTAATTTCTCAGTAGGCAGCAGTGAGATTAAATGGAGAGGTTTGTTTTGTCTTGTGTGCTTCTCGGATGTTTCTCCTGTGAATAAGTCTCCAATTATCTCATCAGCATGTCAGAGTTCTGTGCTGGCTTTTGCCAAGACACTGAAGTCTGCAATCAAATGTCAGAGATCTCAACATTTCTCACCAAAATCAATTCCTCCTCACCTTCAGGTTTAAAGTTAATCGCTAAATGAGATTGCAGTGTAAGTTCAAAGTAATGGAGCAACAGGTTTAAGCTTAAATTTTACATGTAAATTAAAACCAGGATCAAAATTATGATTTAAATGTAAGCTTGTTTTTAAAGAAGCGGTGCAACAGAATTATTAGATAAACCCTGACTTAATCTAGATTCAAGCTTAAGCCTTACTGGTGCAATTAACCCGATGTTTTAGGAGAAACATCTGAGATCCAGTTGATACTGAAATGCAGCATAAGCTCCAGTGAGGAAGATGTAGACGGCAGCTATAGCTGGATCTGATGGGTTTACTGGTGTCTCCCTGCCACGTTGTGATCCGGAGGCAACAGATTGTGGGACCACATGGATCTGCCTCCCTTCTTTCCTGAGTCTGCCAGAGCCGTGTGTGGTGCTTCTAGTGTGTGTTTGTGGGCATGTGTTTTTGGGCCAGCAGTAGATCTGAAGCCTGGAGTACGAGCTTCATGTTGAAGCGTGTGTGAGTGTACTGGAAGAGCCAAAAAAAAACATGCTCACACAGAAAGTACAGCCAACTGAAGAAGCATGAAATGGAGGAGTTCTGTTAGATTCATAAATAAAGGAAAATACAAGGAATCGAGCAAAGCGCAGCGGGGTAGAAACACGGGCAGAGGCTCATTTAGAGATGTTATGATGGCCGGCTGGGGAGTGATGGGCTGAGAATGAGAGAGGGAATGAAATGTGCAACATCTGGTGCTTTTGGACACGGTCACTTTCTGGCCAACGCAGAGTAACACGTTCACCCAGATTCTTTATTTTATGCATAAAATAAGTAAAGTATCATGCATAAAAGACACTACCTGACAAGTGACACTGAAATAGTTGTCCTCAGAAGTCAAGCTTGTCTCAATGACAGTATAATTATGAATGAAAAGACTAATAGAAATTAAAAGGTAATTTGCATGAAGTCAAAAAAAGTTAAAGTAAACTAATAAAAAATAATATATAAAAAAGTAGTGCTGTCAAACGATTGTCATTAATCGTATCCAAAATAAAAGTTTTTGCTTACATAATATAGGTGTGTGTACTGTGTATATTAATTATGCTTATATAAATACATACAAATGTATGTATACATTTAAGAAAAATATGTTATGTTTATATATAATACAATATATAAATATATATTACATACATATATAACAATATAAATTATATGAATATAAATATATACATGTAAATATTTTCAAAAGATATACTGTATGTGTGTGCATTTATATATACATAATAAATATACACAGTATACACACATATATTATGTAAACTTTTATTTTGGATGTGATCAATCGTTTGACAGTACTAAAAAAAGTTATGCAATATTACATTTAATTTTGTTTTTTATTAATTTTATTTTTATTTAATATTCAAAAGTTTGAGGATAGTAGCTAGGCTGCATGCATTTGATCAAAAACAGTTTTCTATTTGAATATATTTTTAAATGTAATTTATTCCTGTGATCAAAGCTGAATTTTCAGCATCATTGCTCCAGTCTTCAGTGTCAAAGGATCCTTCAGAAATCATTCTTATATGCTGATTTTCTTATCGGTGTTGAAACGATTGTATTGCTTTATATTTTAATGGAAACTGTGATAGTTTTTTTAGGGTTTTTTGATGAATGTAAAGTAAAAAAAAAAACTGCATTTATTTGAAATAGTAAAGACTTTTTTAACGTTACAAAAGTTTTGTCACTTTTGATGAATTGAATGCATTATTGTTCAATAAAAGTTGAAAATAAAAATCTTACAGACCAAATATTTGCACAGTAGTACATATATCATATAAATTAAAGTATTTAAACATTATGGAATCATAGTATTTGTTCTACTGTCTTTAATGAGCTGAGCTGAACAATAGCAGATGGGAGTTTTGAGAGTTTGTAGGTTCATTTGGTGCCACAGAAATGTCTTACAGCAGCTGAACTCGTATAGCCCACAAACAAAGTGTTCATCAGAAAGCAGACAGTGCTGCCCTTGGGTGACGTGACATTGGTTGACACCATCAAACTCAGACATCCTCCGTGTTTTATAGTGTCTGTGTCAGCATGTTGCAGAGATGTTCTGATTGGCCTGAGCTCTATAAAGTCATATTCAGTCATCATAGGAGGGAGAGGAGATGTCCACATCAGACTCTGGGGGTCTCAGGCTCTTTAATTAAACTCATCCATCATCAGAACTAGGGATATAACGATTAAATTCATTGTGAAAGCAAAACTTTGTTTGGCCTTCCAAAAGAGAACGAGATCCGCTTCGTCATGCCTGGAGCTGATCCGTGCTGGTCGCTGAGGGAATACATCAACTTCACGCTGTGGGTTGCCGGATCTGGCTTTCACCGTGGACGAACCAGAGTCCAGCCCAGGGTCGTCACATGTGGTTGCCGCAAGCCCGCCGGACGCTCCTTCGTCGAATCCGCCGGCCG